CAGTAGCATTGCAAAATGGGCAAAGTCCACAGACTTCTGGCACTGCTCGGGATATGCTGCTATAGAGGAGCATAAGTGTAATACTTGTGCGCTACAGTGGAGCTCTGGGGTTGGAGAGAGATTAATAAGTAGAAGGGAAGGAGGTATAAAAAAGCAAATATCCCAAAGGAAAGGCTGATTCTCTAGTGGTCCTTTGAAGTCCCTTTGATCTCCTCATGTTTGGTTAGGAAACAAGTACCCTTTAGGGATAATATTAGGAGTAATGGCTAGCAATTCCAAAAGGGGTTGGCAAAAAAGGTTTGTAAAACTGCTTTTAGTGAAATTGTTTAAATTCTGAAGAAAACACCATAGAAAAAGCTTTTCAAAAAAACTGTATCAGAAATGAATTGTTTCGGAAAACTGTGGAGTTCTGTTACTAAATGGCAATGTCTTGTTTTCACTGCTCTTTGTTATGCCTTTATTCTACATTTCATATTGTTTTATATTATTTCCTACCACACAAGGAAGAAGTTATATTTAACACATATTGCCACTGCTGGCTCTGTGCAGTGGCAGGACAGGTGACAAGAAGCCTTAAAACCTTTTTGCAGCCCAACTGGTAGAGTTGGAAATAGCTAGCATGGTGTTTTTATCTGGTATGACAACATAGCGTATTATCTTCCTTTTACCCAAAGATTTGTACTTATTTTTAAATCACTTTATTTCTGAAATAGTGGTTATACACTACTTTGTGTGTATAAACCATCTTATACACTTTGTGGTGTTTAAATCATCTCATCCCCCTTTTTATGGGAAAATTATTTTCAGTTTAATTTTCACTCCTGTAAAATGAGGATAACGGTTTTCACAAACTCCCTCAGGCCTCATGGGGTCAGCTGTGCTGCTGTCTCCCCTCTCTCACGCTAGAAAGTTTTTCCAGTTATCCCTGGAAACATTTCTTCCTTTTCTGAGCACTGCTGTTCCACCTCAGCCTGGCCTGTGCAGTGTTTCAGGCCACAGACTCTTTCCATACCCTGCAAGAGATGTGCTGGAGACCTAGGTACGTGTGTGGTGGTAGAAAAGAATAAAGATTACCTTCTTTCTCTCTTCTTCCCAAGGTTCTTTCATTAACATTCCTATGATACATCTTATTTAGCATATTCATGGCTTTAGGCTTCTTGTGTCCATTATAGCCTTCTAAAGACAGTGATAAAACTTTATATGTTGTATTATAAGAAACATTACGTGCCCGGTCATTTTAGTAGGTTCAGAACAAATTTTGTTTCGTGAGCGTTATATAAAGATCAAAGCCGATACCACAGCTAGTGAAATCAGGAATGGGATACTTGAGTTGACTAACACTGCCTACATCCTAGCTATTCTTGGGTTTACAGGGTCTCTTCTTGAAAATTGTGTCTTGCAGGGCATACCATCCCTAGAGACCCAGAAGAGCGGCTGGTTCTTTCTCTAAAGAAAAGTGACACAGTGGCTCAGGTATTAGCAATTGGCCGAGGGCCTTGACACCAGCCTCTCGGATTTAAAAGAACTCCCAGGCTGAAAGGGCAGAAGAGAGATTTAAAAACAAAAAAATTTGCCTCGGTCAGGGATGTGTCAGAAGAAGCAGGTGCAGAATGGCTCTGTGGAGGTAGGAAATACTCTCCTAGAGACAGGACAGAGTTTCCCGTTGTTCTTAATTTGTCAGAGCTGCTTGATCTTTTGTTAGACAAGAAATAAAAGGCAGCTTAAGAAATACAGTATGAATGTGCCTGGGCTGTCCTGGCTGACAGGAGGAAAGACCAGACTACTCCATTCCAATGAAGTTTTCTTTTTTTTTCTGTCTTCCTTGTCTTCAGATTGGGCTGAGACCCTTTAAAAACGTGTCTACATGGCACACAGCTCAGCAGGGCTCTGTTCACGAGGAGAGTTTATTGGCACCACAGTGAACTCCATTACAGTTTAACACTGAACTATAAACAGCAAAACCCCATGTGAAGGATTTGACTTGAAATTAGCACCAAGAACTGTTTTGCTTTGATCACTCTTCAATTTGGATTGCTGTTGTGAACCTTTGGGTTTGTCCATCCTAAACTTTGTAATCGTGTAGCCTCCCACATTGTAACTAACACTGTTGCTGTACTCTTGATAGCAATAACAGTTCTGGCGTTAGCGAAGACAAGCTGCCAACATGCCGTTGCATTATAGTGACCATAAAGTGTATGCCTACCTTGAGGAGGATTAGGCAGTGCATCATTTCAAGTAGCAATTGCTGACTATCCAAGAGAAATATTCCTATTATACCAAGCAGCCTTGACTTTAAAAGAAAAGCCACAAATATTTTTATGTGACTGGACTCCGGTAATGAATACTATTTGTCCAAAGTTCTCCATGTACATTTTTTAACTGTATTTTCTGAAGGGTAACTTTTTCACTTACTTCTCTATTGAAAGATTTAAATTGCTAAATACTGCTTAGAAAGGCTGTAAATTGGGGACACAGATCCATGGGACTTGCGCATGGAAGGATCATCATAGTAAGTGATGAGTAAAGTAATTAAACAAAAGTTCCTGACCTGGTGCTGACAGCCTGGGTCTGATCATAGGTCATGCAATACTTTCACTTTTTTTTTTGATACATCTTTAGTAGCAGTAATGAGATTCTTATTGATTTTTGAGGTGCTTTGTAATCTTGTCATTTGGAGGTGTTTAGTATTTCTAAGAGGAACTAGTTCAAATAATTTCTATCAAAATCACATTTGGTAGCAAAGTGGGGAGGTTTTTGCTACAAGAAATGCTTCATTAAAATACCTGCTTTAAAGGAGAAATTAAAAGAAAATATTTCCATTATTTTGGGGTTACTGTAGTTGTGCCATATGGGAGCTATAGTTCAAGAATATAAGGACAATGCTCCACTTCTCTCTCCCCATCTTTTCCTCCCTCTTTGTTTTCCTGTATCCTAATCACTTTTCTCCTTTTCTCCTAATACCCCACATCCCTGGAAAAGATTAAGCTGATTGCCTTTTTTGACAATCATTTGGTTTTTTCCGTGGCATTCTGTGCTGGAGTCCCTCCTGTGCAGCAGTCCCTCACTGCTGTTACAGGACACATTTCTGGTGACAGCACCAATTCTGCAAAGCCAGTGACTGGTAGGAGCAGACGGTAATACAATAATAAAGAAAGGCACCCTGAATAGAATCACAAAACCAAGGTTCATTATATGAAGATTCGATTAGTTCTTTAAACACAGAAACTGTGATAGAACATACTGTACAAAACAGGATCACTGCCAAGTATTTATAGGCAATGCATTGCCCCTTCCTGCTCATACAATTAAGGTAACTGAGTTTCAATAGTCACAGCTGCATAAAGCAGCTTTCTGATCCTACCTAGGTCAGCATGAAATAAGACTGCATTCAGTGCTAGTTTAGAAATTGTGCTCTTTTTTTTTCCCCTGACATGAAGAAATGAGAAATTGAACACAATGTGTTCCATTTTGGAAACCCAATGCTCCTTTTAAATTCCATCCAGGATAGCAAGAACTCAATGCATCCATTAAAATCCAAATCTTAAAGATGATCAGATTAAACTCTTCAAGCTGTAGCTTTGAATAAAGCATTGGATTTAGCCAGCACAATAAAAATCTCTGAGTATCTTGGGAAGAATCCCAAACTGGGGCTGTTGTCATAACTTGTCTTCATAAAAAATATGCCTAATTTTAGCTCTTTTTCCACATCAGCTGGGAAAACCTGCTGGGTTTTGGGCACATTCTGCAATTCTAATCAGTTGCTGAAATGTTTCCTCTTTCTTCTAGTTGCACTCTCCAATATAAGTGGCTTGTGACAGTTCAGTGCTTTCTCTCCTTGAGTATTATCCCATTGAAAGAAATTCTGCTCTTTCCTTTCCCTTCCACACAAACTCTGAAGATCTGTTCAGCCTTCAGTGCTTCAGAAGTAAAAGCACCGTCATTCTCAATATCCCCTGGATTTCTGCACTGTTAAGAAATTCTGCATTCCTCAACAACTTTACAGTAAATTGATTATTTTCTTGTCTCTATAAATGCCACTGGACTATGGAGCTCACCTTGCCAAGATACACAATAGAAACTTCACTGCATTGCTTTCTATACAGTAGCTGATTTTATAACGAGCTTTGCAGGAATTGCACCAATAAGCCCCTTTCCAATTTTCCCTTTTTACATTGCTGCTTTATGGTATTCACTTTTATGAACCATGTAACCTTAGGAAGGACAGCATGTAAAGACAAAGTAGCATTGATAAGGTATCAGTAACCCCAATGTTGCCAGAGTATCCTGGAGAATCACATCTAGTAACTCTCTGTTCTTTTCTAGTGTTTTTTACGCAAGGATCCTGGCAAGATTGGCCAATATTAAATAATACAGTTTTGTATCTCTCTTGTCCCACAACAAGCTCAATTATCTATAATTCCTAATTTAGCAAAGGACAAAAGGAGCTTCAGACAGACATTCACAGCAAGGTAGCAGCATAGCCAAAAATTAATTCCAAGTTTTCCAACCTTCTACTCCCTGCTGCCCTGGTTCACAGACCCCATCCTGAGCTTTGACCTCTCTTTCATGCTTCCCTCTTTAAAAAGCGGAAAATACTTCTAATGCAGTCATTTCCCATTTCATGGAGTGATTCCCTTTAGATTTGCTCATGTGTTGCTTTAACAGGGAGGAAATACAATGTGCTCGTTAAAGGGAGAGCCTCAGAGACAAGATTTTTAGGCTGTAGCTTTAGCCTTAGCTTTACCTTGATTTGTTTTTGTTTCTCCACCTGTGAAATGGAGTGGTGCTTAGTGATCCATGTCACAGTGTTACCAAGCCACTTGAATGTATGGGAGATCCCCTGAAATCTTAAGACAGGTGCAAATGATTAATTCATTATCAAATCCATCATCTTCTCTTTGGAAGAGCCTTAATCTAATGTTTTATTAATATAAAAGCAATTATGTTGCTGGCTTATCAGTCATGTGAATGGAACCTTTCTTTTTCTTTTTTTCTTGGAGTGCGGATGGTCCTTCCTCTGAAATCATGCAGATTGATTTTGAAATTGAAGACCTAACTGACCTACCTGGGACCCAGCTCATCACATGGCAGGTAGAATATCCTGGAGATACAACATCTGAACTAGGAATCTCCAAGATCTACGTAAGCCAGAAGGACCTGGTAGGAGTTCTCCCTTTGGCTATGGTAAGAAATTGTCTGGCATTCTGCAAGTTTTTGATATTGCTTTACACTCTAGTGTCTGACAGATGCAAATGATCTGCTGAAAGGGGTGGGGGGACAGAAAGTTTCCGCACCTTGAGTAAAAGATACTAACTTCTGAAGTTTGCTTCATTCAACGGTGAAACCGCATGAGGGGAAACCATAGCTTCCCATGGCAGGCCCAGTCGTGCTCTCTTTGACCAATACACTGACTTCTTGGAGGCAGAAGCTGAATCCATGGCATTTCCAGTATTCAGAACTAACTCTTGTTGTTGCATGAAGTGGTACACTTGGGCACTCGGTTTAATGTGGTTTATGTATTATTTGAATCACAAGTACTCTTACATTTGGTCTAGCGTTTAAGGACTTCCTGAATCACAATTTTTTCAGTTTTTGAATTCTTACTCCACATTCATTTAAGAGTGAGAAGAGAAATAAAAGTCATGGTGTGACTTCTGAGTAATTTTTAATTACCTGGGGAACACAAAATACAGTACATAGCCAACTGTCTGTTCTACATAAATGCATTCAAATGGGTTGCCTCACCGTCACGGTGCAAACTCTAGAGCTTGAAAAATACCTGATTCTTTAGCCTTGGTCTTACCTATAAAAACTGTTAGATACCTGAATTCCAAGTGCAAACAGAAATTTTGTGTGTTTCCTCTTCTCTCCCCTTCACATTTCTTCATCGTTAGGGTTGAAGTATACTTGTCTAAGGTCTGGCTGTGCCCCGTTTTTGTTCTTAGCCAATCTATTAGAAAATATTGACACATTATTATTTAGCACTGAAAGAAAAACAAAAATCAATCTCACAGCATTTAAAAAAATGTAACCTGGATGTTTGCCTAGTGATAGCCAGTTAATTATGCCATTATTGAAGGCTGAAGGTATTCTCTGCAATTCCAGACTCGCAGAACTGGCTACTATTGTTATTCAACAACTTTAGAACTACGCAGGTGGTGTGATTTTTTATTTCACTGGAAATATTTCTTTTCTTTTGTAATGTCTCGTGCTTTCATTACCAAGGTGTATATCACAGTTGAAACAGCTCTCTCCATCTGGAATTGTGGCCTCTGATTGCAGGAAAGTGGAGTTTTAGTTGGTACACTGTATGTAAATTATATCAACCCAGTTAGCTATCTAAAGGAATTAGTGATAAATCAAGTTTAACTTCATGTCTAATCTGTTCAGAGGGTACAGACCAGTAAATTCAACTTTACAACTTAGGATTTTTTTTTTTTCTCAGAGTTGTATATCTAATCCTTTTGTTTTGCATGATTGTTTCAATGGGCTAGTTCCTGATATTGAACAGTCGGTGATCTCTGCTGGTTTGTCAATAAGAGGCTTTCAGATCTGCAGATGGACTCTGATGTGCAGTCACACAGGTTCTGGAATATTGAGGGTTAAGGCTATAGAGGTGATTTGATTTACATAATCTGAGATGTGGGTTTATTCGCTCCATCCCTTAATGAAAAGATTTCTTTCCTAGTGGTTCCAATGGTTTCAGAAAACACTAGTTCTTCTCATACATGCCCATGATCGCTTTAGTATTAAGTGATATAGTGGCAAAAAGTAGTTCATAAGAACAAAGATAGATTCTCCTGGCAGTTGCTACAGATGGAAAAAAAAGCCCATTTTCCAGAATCACAAAATTCTATGCTCAAAGGTCACATGAAGTCTATAAAGTTATCAGTAGGTGGCATTTTACAAGGCAACAGGTGTTGGGATAATGGATAAGAGAGAAAGCAAAGATAAATGGCAGGGGTCCCCTAATTACTGACAGACTGGGAATAGCTTTAACCTTCTTTGCATTAACTGGAGTGTCAGGGAAGAAACTCTGGGGTATCACAAATCTCCAAATCTTTGTAGTACTTCACTTTGTGCTTGGGAAATGATGATTCAGGTGCAGACTTTTCAAGACGTGTAACTTAGATTAGTTTGGTACTTCAGATTTCCCTGTGATCTTAGCGAAGCCAGTTTGTAATTTACAAATTTAAAAAAAAAAAGAAAAAAATCATCTATTCTTCCATTTAGGAAGAATCACAATGAAAACAAAATGTTATATGATTTCTCTGTTTCTAGAGACTGGGGTTAATTTGGATTAGTTTTGCTGGGCTTCTTAGAGGAACATGTAATTTCATGTTTAGAAGCACCAAACAGAAATTGTGTTGAATATTTCAATTACAGGTTAATTTTTCAAAAGAACAATTTTACTGCTTTAATATTAGGCAGAGCTTTGGTTTTCAGTGGACTAGCACATACCACCTCTGTATCATCTTTGTTTTCTGTAGTCTTTTCTGCTAGCTGTTTTGGATTTGTAAATTGAAAAGCAGAAGATTGGCCAATTTAGAACTTCCTGCTTTCTTTTTTTGAGTTACAAAATGCTGCAATGGAAAGACTTAAATGTATGTATCAGTGTCAGGACACACTGGAAATGCCTACCTTCTGCTGAAGTTACTAGGACACTTGCTGCACTCACCTTACCTTTCTCCAGTGCATTTTTTTTTTCCTATGGCATATTAGCATTCCAGCTTTTGTGACCCCTGCAGGGCCCTGTACCAATAATGGAACGGAAACACAAGTCACAGTAGAGCACTCAAGGATATTGATGAGAAAAGCTGTGAGGTGTATTTTATGGATGTGTGGGTACCATAAAGGTTGATATTTCTGACACTTTAATAACACCTTTTCCAATTTTAAAGTGTAACAGAACCTGTCTTGGGAAGCTGTGCATGGGACCCCAGTCAGCCCTTGTTAGCAGAATGGGAATAGCATGGGAGAAGACATTTAATTTGAGAACATTGTAAGAACGTGTAAGCAGCTGTTTGGATATTTGCAATGCATGATCCTTTCCCTTAAGCCTGATGAAATACAGGCAAAGATGTTTATCCAGCGTTATAAAAAATTATTAGCCTTTTACTGTGATTGCTTTGCAGTGGCTCTTACAGCCACATAGCAATGTCTTGCCTTGTTGACAGAAACTAAAACATCCACTAAACCCCATGGAAGAGGCAGGTAATTGTATGGTATAATGTGCTTCACCAGCAGAGTTTCCGCTGTAATTTGTGCATTTTTGGCATGGGCACTATTTCCCAGCTTTCTCACTGCAAGGTCTGTGTCTCCAGGTAGTGTGTGGCCAGGGAACTGCAGAAGAGGGGTCTTAAGAACACATTGATCGGTAAAGGAATTATAGAAAGAAAGAATGCTTTATTCTGGATGGAGAATTCTGGACAAGGAATGCCAGAGGATTACTCCATGGTAATTACTGAAAATTTGGCACTTTGGGGGAAAAAAAAAAAAATCACAAGTAAATAGTGAAGAAGCAAAAACCTTCTATGTTGTTCTGTGTTATCAGCTAACATACATATTCTCTTTAAACATCATTCTCTGAACATTCACTTGTAACAGGGTATCCTTTGAGACAGAAGCCCTAGTACCTCTTAAGACCTTTGAAATATGGTACTAAAAAGGCATATGGTCCATTTGTTCATTAACTGTCTTGAACATGCTAAACTGCTGAGGTTTTTTGAGTTGAGGACCTGCATTGTAGTGTGACAGCCAGTGAGAATAATATGCCTGAATCTTCTAGAATATGACATTATTTTTTATTGGCATCCTAAAGAATCAGCTTCCAGTTCCTATTTTGACTTCTTTCTGGTTTTTCTTCCCTAGTTTATTTCACTCTCATTTTGTTAGGTGATGAATGGCACGGGTTTAATCACTCAAATTGTACATTTGCTGCTATTGATTATTGTTGCTTTTTAAACATTGTCAGCTCTTTTATAATGATGGTGTTCACCTTTTGTTGAACCTTAATGATGAGGTGAGGATGAGAGACAGACGAGCTCTGTAGCCACCTATGTACATACAAGATAATCCCTACTGAGAAAGGCAGAGGGCAAATATGACATGCTGGTAAATGGATAAGTTGAAATCTGTTCTGTAAATAATAATAATAAAAATTGTGAATAATAAAATACTTGGGCTGGTTCTTAACTGAACCAACTCTGAATCTGTAAATCACCTGTGTTACCTATTTACATGCCCTAAACCTATTCCATATGTGCCCTCCCTTTATTTAATAATCTGATAAGGAATCAGGGCAAAACACCTGTTTCATATATCTCATAGAGGGAGATGTTTGTCCCAGGGTTGGTAAATCCCTTATTAGAATAGTCCTTTGACTAGGAAATATATTCTGTTAACTTACTTTCTCCTAGAATACTGAAAAAATATATGCAGGATGCTCAATGTCCCTTCAGAAATTTCTTGAAAAGGTTGCAGGTTCCTGACCTTCAATTTTTGATAAATTGTTGTCCGCATACGTGTTTTAAATTTATAAATCAGCAAGTCAATATTAGAGTCAGCCTGGCTCACACAAATGTAGTTGCCCTGATGTTCAAGATATTATTAGGTTTAAAGATACAGATGTGGACCAGATGTTTCAGGTGGTGGTAGGACATATGAAGCTGATGAAGAAGCCAGGTAGCTGGATGATGAGCATCTTTGTGTGTAAAAAGTCTGTGAATCTAGATTGCTTTCTTGGGAGACTCCCCAGCCCTTACAGATGAACTGTAGGCTATAATAGCCTGCCTTGTATCATCTGTGCAACTAGGAAAGAGCAGAAAAGTTTTGCCTTCCAGAGGAAGAGTCCTTGAGCACTACCAACTCATGGTAACAGTGGCTGAGTAGCCCTGGATTACCTCATACCAATCATGATATTAATATTTTGGAGTCAATAATTCAGCTTTGTTGCTGCCCAGAGAATCTCAACTTGTTGGCAGGCAGGACAGCTTGCCTCGGCACTAGGGCTGAATTAGCAGGGTTCACCTTCCCAGGGACTGGCAGGACAGGCTCCTTCAGTCTTTATCAAACTCAGCTCCGGTCTGGGGCTTGGTGAGTTTTATGCCTGTATGTCCGTTGGGTGCCTGTCTTTCCTTTGTTTACCGAATACACTGGCAGAGCTCTTAGGTATGTTTATAATC